ATTGCTATGAATAATTATAAATTCTTTATTAAAACATATTTACCGGTACTTTTTTTATTTTGATCGTACACCTGTGATTCTGCTGATTCATTTTGATCGTACATCTGTGATTCAAACATGGGTGTTAGTGCTTTATTTTCTTTATTGTACTCCGATAGTTGATTATGGTCGCTGTCATTACAACTGGGGATGTTCATATGAAATATTAATTGTTCTCTGTAATACAAAATATACTGACATTCTTACACTGTCTTATATATCTTTCTTTAATTTTTAGTTTTTCTATTGCATGTAATTAAAATATGTAAGAAACTAAAGCTTCTGTTTACTCTAAAGTAAATGTATTCAGTTTTTAAAAGAAAACTTATAAAATAAAATAAAAATTATTTTATAATGTAAACTTTGCTCTTAATAAGTTTTAAATGTACTCTTCCAGAAGATTTCGATAGCTTGCAATTAACGCAGCTTACATAATTCTAAAATCTACTTACTCGTCTTCAATCACTCGAGATATTTCTTGAATTTTTTTATTTTTGCTTTTATTTAGAACAAATAATCCGTTTTTAACCAGAAGTTTAATATATTGTGTAGGTATCGTCATCTAAAATTAATTGGCAGAAAAATTAGTTAATATTCTTTTTATGTATATTTTTGAATATCAAATAAATCTGACAATTTCTTTTATTCTTTTTATTCTGGATTAAGGATTATTATGCATGTAACTTAAGCCTTTTTTAAAAACACAAGTATGGTGAACGTTACGTACAGAATGCAGTGGTTAAAATAAAACAATTATTATTTTATGCTTTTTACTATGCAAATAAATTCTTAAAGTTTTATATTATGCATTGTATTTATTCAAGTTTTTCAAATATTTTTAGTACAATATCCAAAAACTATATACATCTTTATTGTCGATAATCTACACAAGAATAACCTTAAAATCCTAAAATCAGACAAGTTTTATAATTTTACTTGTCAATTTATTGAATAAATCAATTTCACTTGATTCAAGTTTTAATGTCAGCATGTCATTATTGACTTTAAAGTAAATTAATTTCTCTGATTGTTCCATCATTTTTCCAGAAAATGTAAATCCAGAAATATTGCACTTGACACATGTAGTTTTGTTTAGCTGAGAGTGCAAGAAACTCGCACTTTCGGCAACCTCGTATGCCTGATTCCACCAACGTAGATTAACTTTAATCTCGGTTCAACTTACTCTTCACCTTTTTTCTTAATTCT